TTCTACTAGCAAAACTAGCCTAGCTATTACTAGCTACGCGAATTAAGACAGCTAGGAGAGAGAGAATGGCTAAGCCAACTTGAACAGTATAGGAAAAAAGACCACTAGCAAGAATCCACATACGTACGCAGCAAAATACAAGTAGAAGATAAGAAAGCAAATCGCTATTCCTAACAATACTAGAAGAGAAATTTCTAGCGCTTTCTACCAACTTAAACTAGGGCACTGTTACTTAAAGGACTACCTATATAAGAGAGGGAAAGTGGATTTCAATAGTTGCCCCTGCAACTATAGGTCTATACAAGACCTACCTCATATTCTATTTAGATGTAATCTATATAGAGAGGAAAGGAAAGGACTAAGAGAAGCCTGCGAAGGCGATCTATTACTACCTATCCTCCTTCAAACAAAAGAGGGTATAGAAGCAACTATTACCTTTATTCAAGAAACAAAGGCTAGAACACAAGCCTAGTACAAGGGAAACATAGAAAACGAGGAGTAATACCTGTAACAGGTAGCCATACACCTCCCCCACCCTATCCCCCCCTACCTACCAACCAATAGGCTACAAGCCTCACCTTTATCTAGTTAAAACCCCTCCTAAATATCGTAGCTAGAAACAACCTACTTAGATACTTGTAGGCCTAAGAACCCTACACGTCTTATATAGCCCTTTCGGCTGAAAAAGGACGTTAAACTAGAATAATAATAATAATAATATGTAGAAGGATTTAGGAGTAGACATAATTTAAGGAAGCGTCTTAGTAGACAATAAAGATAACAAAAACTATACTTTAGTAATAGAAGGCTTCTATAAGCATATTTAAGAGAATATAAAGTAAAGGAAGAATAGGGGTATAAAGGAAGCTAGCATAGAAATCTAGGGTTAGAAGGATGTGGTTAACTAGCCTAAAGAGCTTAGGAAATAGTTTCCTAAAGTACAATAGAGACGCACACCTTATAAGAAAGGAGAAGCCTATATTACTAACCCCCTGCTCCTGTATAGCTCTATAGGGCTAGCTACTAAGAACTATTGTACAATTCTGCCTTAGTATATTGCCATGCGCAATAGTGTGATAGAGGTACTATCTATAGGAACCTATAAAGATATCCTTAAGGCTTATTAGACGCTTATATGTAACGGGG